CAGACACAGAAAGAAAAATATTGTATGATCTCATTGTGGGATCTAAAAAAAAAGGTCAAATATATAGAGATGGAGAATAAAACAGAGGTTACCAGCAGCTGGGGACAGAAGGGGAAGAAATCAGGAGACGTAGGTTAAAGGATCCAAAGTAGCCGATATATAGGATGAACACATCTAGAGATCTAATGTAAAATATGAGGACTATAGGTAATAAAATTGTACTAGGGAGTAAGTAGATTTCAGCTGCTCTTGCCAGCAAAAAAACAAAACAAACAAACAAACAAAAAACACCTGTTTTACTATAATAACTACTTTACTATCTATATGGATCCCATAACATCATGTTGCAAACTTCAAATATACACAGTAAAATTTATTTTTTAAAAAAGAAAGAGTTACAAAAATGAATTCGTACCGACTTTTGTGTTTGCTTACACATTCACTATTCTTTTAGTTATGTGGATTTGAATTCTAGTATCCTTTAATTTCTCTGTGGATGATTCTCTTTGTATTCCTCTGCGGACAGGTCTGCTAGCAATGAATTGTTTGTATCTATCTGGGAATGCTTTAATTTCTTCTTTATTTCTGATAATGATAATGTTGAATGAAAAGGATAATTTTGTTTACTTTCTTTAAATGCCTCGATGCAGTAAGACTCCTAGCCTTTGCCGAGGGGCTCTATTCCTGTGTTGGGACATGATTTCAGTGCTCTGCCAGGCACTTTACAACCTCTTGCTGCTTGGACAGGGCCTCAGGGTCAGCCAGTGTGGAGAGATTAGGGCCATCTCACTTCTTTTCTAAGAATACACCCAGTCCTGAACTTGTGCGTGGCCTTCTAGATTCCCAGGAATATTTGAGCTTTTCAAAGATCCCTGTAGATACGTTATTCTATGTCTATTATCCCTGTAGACACATTATTCCTTTTAAGGTTTTCAGCAGCTTGACTTGCCCCAACTTTTGCCCTCCTCCTCATACAGCTATGATTTTTAAACAATTGCAACTGATCAATGTCCCCTGAAAAGGCTGTTCAGAGAGTGTGCTCTGAGTCAGGTTAAAAAAAGAAGAACCTGGTAAATGGGAGTTTCCAGGGAGCTACCGCACAGGTCAAAGAGTGACAATTCTCTGGGAATGGGTTATTTGGGGAGCTCCAAATCCCCAACTGCATCCTCCAGTAACTACTAGGTTGCTGTTTTTCACAGGTACTGTAGTTGTGACTGTCGTTTTTCAAGGCTACCATGGAGCTGGAGAGAGGGAAAAGGGAAATAGTCCAAGTCGAAACACCAAAAATCGTAGTATTTTTACAAGATTCATCAGTTTTTCTTCAACACTGTTTGGACTGTTGCAAGTTTTTGGTTAAGTTTTAGAGTCCCAAAAAAAGTTAATTTTGCCAATGTTTTCAGTGTTACTGCATTTTTTGAGGAACAGATATTCAGAGGGTCTTATGCCACCTTTCTGGAAGTCCAGAGCTCAAAGATACTTTTGACTATGTTCACGTTACTCCAGTACTTCAGAATTAATCCCTTCAGAGATGCAACTACATTGTATGCCACTTTGCCTCAATTCCATTTTACATATATTTGTTGCATTTCTAGTATTTCCTTGGTATTGTACATCCTACCTGTTTATCAGTTTTCTTAGAAACTTTTGTTCGGTAGTTTTGAACAGGGATGCCGAATCCTGCCTGTGCCTTGGTTATTTCTGCACGGATGACTCCTCCCAATCTAAAATATGTTTTTTACATATTTAAAGGGTTGTAAAAGAACAAAATCCAAACAAACATTGAAGAATGTGTGACAGAGACCATATGTGACCAGCAAAGAAAATTTAAAATATTTACTATCTAACCTTTTACAGAAAAATTTGCCAACCCCTGACTTACAGCAAAGGAATGGTAGGTTGACGAGACCTGAGTCTATTTGCTGTAGTTGCCTTTTTTGTGTTTCTTAATCATTCAACATTCCTTTAGGACTCCCAAATTATAGTCTCAGAGCTGGAAGAAACCTTACATATTGTTCACTGATAAAGAAACCAATACTCAAAGGCTTGTTCAATGTCATAGTATTAATTATCCAGGACTAAACCTTAGGTTTCTGATTATGCTTTACTCCTCTTTTCATTCTAAGGTGCTTACAAGTTTTCCTGTCACTTCTTTCTCAGCAAAAAGCGTTTCCAATGTTAGATAAATTCTCAATGTTAGATAAATAAGTCCTTCTCCCCTGCACGCTTGTCCCTCTTTCTCATTTCTGCTTTTCTCTCCACCTTAAGGAGAAGCTGTGTTCTCCAATTTTATTGAACAATCCTCTATGGAAGTTCTTGTCCTTATGATACTAAAGCAGTGGCAAGGCGGTGGAGGTGAGGGTGCTGTAAAAGTAGCCACAGAATTGATTCTGTGTTTTCCAGTTCTCTTTGGTAACTTACCGATAGCATGTATGGAAAAAATGTGATTTTCATATTGTGTTCCATTTAGGGAAGGTGAGAAGGGTAGAACTGAGTGAGATTTTGCCATATATCGGGCTTTCACGCAAGATTTAATTAGAATAGAGGATTTAAAGAGGGAGAGAGAGGGAGGAAGGAAGAGAGAGAGAGGGAGAGAGTTAAAAACCATGAATTTAGACCATAGATGGAGGAATCACAAGGATCTTCAAATAAAGCCCCTGGAGCAATGAGAAAAATCAGTGCCATGTCATCTCCAGTCCACCACCTCCTCAAGACAGAGATAAGGCTTGGGGCAGTATTGGATCCAGGAATCCCAACTCCTAGAAGCATCAGAAAATAAGCTGAAAGTGGGTAGATGTGGTACATTTTCCCAGCTATCATTTATTCAGGGCCTGAAAATTCTCTGGAAGATTGAAATGAAACTCCATATGTATTCACAACAGATTTTGACAAGGGTGCAAATCTCAGTCAGTGGAGGAAAGACAAGTCTTTTCAATAAATGCTGCTGGAGCAGCTGAATATCCATAGGCAAAAAATAGAAGTGTCATGGTCGGGTGTGGTAGCTCATGCCTGTAATCTCAGCACTTTGGGGGTCTGAGGCGGAGGATCACTTGAAGTCAGGAGCTTGAAACCAGCCTTGCCAGCATGCGGAAATTTTGTCTCTACTAAAAATAAAAAAATTAGCAGGGCGTGGTGGTGAGCTCCTGTAATCCCAGCTACTCGGGAGGCTAAGAGGTAGGAGAAGTGCTTGACTTTGGGAGGCAGAGGTTGCAGTGAATGAAGATCATGTCACTGCACTCCAACCTGGGTGACAGAGTGGGACTCTGTCAAAAAAACGTTTCTTGATCTCAATCTTTTTTTTTTTTTTTTTTTTTTTTTTTTTTTTTTTTTTTTTTTTTTCTTGAGACGGAGTTTCGCTCTTGTTACCCCAGGCTGGAGTGCAATGGTGGGATCTCGGCTCACCGCAACCTCTGCCTCCTGGGTTCAGGCAATTCTCCTGCCTCAGCCTCCTGAGTAGCTGGGATTACAGGCACACGCCACCATGCCCAGCTAATTTTTTGTATTTTTAGTAGAGACGGGGTTTCACCGTGTTGACCGGGATGGTCTCGATCTCTTGACCTCGTGATCCACCCGCCTCGGCCTCCCAAAGTGCTAGGATTACAGGCTGAGCCACCGCGCCCGGCCTCTTGATCTCAATCTTATACCTTATGCAAAAATTAACTAAGGATGGATTATAAGCAAAGAATTCTTAGACTTGACAACAAAAGTAAAATCCATAAATTAAAAACTGATAAATTCGGTAAATTGGACCTCATCAAAATTAAAAATGTTTGCCCTGCCAAAGACCCTGCAAAAGGTGTGAAGATATGAAAAGACAAGATAGAGATAAGAAAATCTTTGCAACCCAATATCTAATTAAAGGCTTATTTAAAGAATATAAAATAACTGTTCAAACTTACCAGTAAGAAAAATATCTAATTCAGAAATGAATAAAATCATGAAGAAACATTTCAATGAGGAAGAAATACAGATGAAAACTAAGCACATGAAAAGATGTTAAATATCATCAGCCACCAGGGAAATGTAAATTATAACCACAATGTGATATCAGCACAAATCCACAAGAATGAGTAAAATAAAAAAAAATAGTGAAAACATCAAATATTGGAGAGGATGTGGAGAGACTGAATTACTAATACTTCGTTGTTGGGAGGTGAGACTGTAAATGGTACTGCCACACTGGAAAGCAGTATGGCATTCCTTACAAAACTGAACATGCAATTACCATATGACTCAGCAATTTTACTCCTGAGTGTCTGTCCCAAAGAAATGAAAATGTATGATCACACAAAAACTTATACAGTACAGGAATGTTTACAGCAGGTTTATTTGCAGTAGCCCAAAACTTGAATCATTCAACGTGTGCTTCAGCAGGTGAGTGGCTAAACAAACTGTACTACATCTGTACCATAGAATACTGCTCAGCAACATCAAGGAGCAAACTCTTGATACATAGTAGCTTACACGAGTCTCCGGGGAATTATGCTGAATGAAAACAGCCAATCCCAAATGTATATACTGTATGGTTCAACATTCTTGAAATTCCAAAATTACAGAGAGAGGAAACAGATTATTGGCTGCCAGGGCTCAGGGATGAGGGGAGGGTTGGATGGAGCTCTAATGGGGTAGCACAAGGGGGCCTTGTGGTGAAGGTACAGTTTCATATCTTGACTATGGTGATGGTCACACAAATATACACACATGATAAAATTGCACAGGACTACACACACACACACACACACACACACACACACACACACACACATACACACCCCACACACAAATTATTGCATATTAAGCTGCAAGATGGTACCATTAGGGAAAATTGAGTGAAGGGTACATTAGTAAAAGGGTACTTCCCTATACATTTTTTCAACTTCCTGTGAATCTATAATTATAATGTAAAAATTACAGAAAGCATTAATAAAAAACCTAAAACAGCCACTCCAGAGCTCAAGATATCAAGAAAAGGAGAATTAACTTTGTCTCTTCTCTTCTTATAGGACCTGTACCTGCCTCTGTCCTTGGATGACTCAGACTCGCTTGGCGATTCAATGTAAAGGAGGGGAGAGTTCTCAGAGTCCAGAGTACAAATCCAAGCCTATCATTATAGTAGGGTACTTCTGCTCAAGTGTCCAACAGGGCTATTGGTGCTTTCAAGTTTTTATTTTGTTGTTGTTGTTGTTATTTTGAAAAACACACTGTAATATGTTGGGTTTATTTTCCTGTGATTTCTCCTCTGGGCCACTGATCCACAGTTACCAATTATGAGAGATAGATTGATTACCATCCTTTGGGGCAACCTTCCAGAAATGCAAAATGTGCTAGTCCATGACCTTTCAATGGAAAGCTTAGGTGCCTGCGTTATTTTTGCCCTGTCTCATTTTGCCCATACGGTCTTCCTCCTGTAGAGGGCTGTTTACATATACAACACTTAAAATGTTTGTGTGGGAATAAAAGCTCATTAGCAGATCCAAGAATGACAAACACAAGTGCCCCTTTTCTCTGGATCTCAAGAATGGTGGAGGACCATGGAAGGACAGCAAGACAACTCCCCAGCCTCTCTCTTCACTTCTGATTGAGGCCTGGGTTTGTTGTCCAGTACCAATTCTGGCTGTCAATGGGGAGAAATACCAGCAACTTAAAATTGTGACACCAGATGCTTAGGATCCTGGTGCTGGGTTAACTAAAAGAGAATAGGCAGAATTGGAAAATACTGCAGACATTTCAGAAGAGTTTATAAAGCACAGTGAATTCCTGGTCAATCACCCCACTGAGTCAATTTGGAATCAATAAGCAATTGATAAGAGTTTGGAGTAGGGGACTTCATATACCTGATTCCTCTAGGAGGCTGTCTAACATACCACATGATTACATGAACTGTATGGTATCCATCTATCTCTGTTCTATTGAATGCCTTGTTAACAGCCAACACTGAAAACACTGTGAGAATTTGTTTTCAGGTCTGACACCTTTCAGTCTCTTTTTATAGCAAGAAATCAATATCCTTTTTATAAAAACTCATTTCGGTATTTCAGGAGCAAACTCTTCGGGCTCCTTTTTTTGTAAACTGGTGACTTTTCTTTTGTCTAAAAAACACGTGAAGAAAATTTACCAAAAAAAAAAAAAAAGCAGAATAATAATGTAGTTTAGAAATTATGCTGTCACTGCCAAACAGTAACCTCCAGGAGAAAACAAAATGAATAGCAGAGGCCAATTCAATAGAATCAGTTTTTGATAGCTTTTTAACAGTTATGCTTGCATTAATAATTTCAATGTGGACCAGACATTCTAATTATATTTTAAATGAAATGTTACAGCATATTTTAAGCAACTCTTTTTATCTATAATCCTAATATTTCATACTGAAGACACACAAATCTTTCACTTGTCTTTAACATTAGAAAGGATTTCTCTTTACTAAGGACTGATCATTTGAAATAGTTCTCTGTCTTTTGAGATACAGGTTTATAACACTGCTTTTTTTCTGTAATCGTAGCCCATAATAGCAAAGGCAACTAAATTTAAGTGAAGGCCATGCATGCCAATTCTGTGTTTGCTTTTAGCAGATATGAAGAGTTCCTTATTTCTTTGTAATTGTGCAGATATTTTGAAAGGCACAGCATTCGAAGCCAAGCTGCTGTTTGGCTACTGAATGACTTGCAGTTGTTCCTCCACTTTAAATGGAATGAGCTTGCTGTTGTGTATGTGTGGTGGTGGTGGGAGGGGGTGGTGCATGTGTGTGTGTGTGTGTGTGTGTGTGTGTGTGTGTGTGTTGGGGGGGTGGGTGTGTGTGTGCATCTGCAGCTGCTTCACAATTAGGAAATACTACAGAACACCCCTTAACGGATTGGTGTCAACTTGGTGGCACTGCTGTTATGCACTCTGTAGGGGGGAACCCAGTGGTGGTAGGGGTAGCTCAGATGCCCCTAGACAAGTTTCAGATGTCTGTAGCTACGAGAAACATTTTTGGTTCAGGAAAAGTGAGATGATGGAGTACTTGTTTCTGGTGAAATTGGTCATCGAAGAACCCCAAATGATAAGAATTTCTTTTTGCCCCCCACCTTTATTTGTAGACCCACTCAAAACCATAAATAAGCCCATTTTACTCAGCCCCTATTTCTTTCTAGAAGCTCAGGGTTTTCTTAGTGCCTCCCAGAACATTTCATAGTTAATTGAGGAAAAGCGATACTTGGTTTAGGGGTGTGGGCATAAAGAATGGTAGGAGGCCTAATTTTAAACTTCAGGCCAGATTCCACCCCCCAAAGACTCCACCCACAGTCTCACTTTAGTTCTCATTTAGTCCACACCTTTATTTTAAGATGAGGAAATGGAGGCTCGTTAAGAGCAGAACCAGAGGAAGAATCCAGATTTCCTTATGCCTGGACCTCACACTAGCTCTCTGAGCATTTCCTTGATTGTGGTGTATGTACTATTAGAAAACACTAAATGGACATATTTTCTTTAGGATAACCTTTGAACCAACAATCTTCAATAACAATAGTACATTTTCCATCTTCCTTTTAATCAACGATAAGGAAATGTTTCTTTACTGCCATTTTGGAGGGGGCAGGAGATGGTGTAGTCCAAAATTCAAGTTTCCAATAGTTAATTACATGTTAAATTGGACCATTTTTCAAGGCAAATTTATTTTTTTGTTTGTAACTGAGCTCCTCCACCCCTGTCATTCACTCCTAATTTTACCCAATCCAATTTTACCACTCAAGTCCCATTGTGTTAATTTCTGCACAGTCAGCAACCATTAAGTCAGCAAGCATTTGCCACCACTCCCTATACTTCTCCCTCCCTCCCTCACACACACACACACACACACACACACACACACACACACACACACACACAATCCATCTCTTGCTTGTTCCTACCTCCTGATTTTTCTTCCCTACAGAAATAGAAATAGGGACAAAGAAGGGAAAATGTATATATGGGGGCTGGGCTGAACAACTAACTTCATAAGTAGTGTTAACTAGGGGTAAACTGAGAGAAAAGCTCCTTTTCTCTTCACTGTTTTGGAAAGGATAGCCATTAGCATGACTGCTTTGTGTCCTTATGGACTTTAGTATTAGCCTAGATTGAATCATAGCGTTTTCTAGCTGGAAGGAACCTTAAGATCACATCATCTACTCCTCTACTCCAAATTTATCATTCTTCAGGCCAGGAAACCAAGACACAGAGGTAAAGTAATTTCCCCAAGGTCACACAGCTGGCTGGAGCAGGACTGGGATTAGAATCCACATCTCCTGGCTCTTATTCCAGGGCCTTTTCCCACTGAGCAGTATTGCCTTCTACTAGGCTCCTGAGAATTCTTTCCCAGGGTCATGTTGCATTTTGGAGCCATATGCTGCTGTCCTCATCTCAGTGGGAAATCCACTCAGCAACGTAATATGGCCCCTTTTCCCTGCACTCACATGGTTCCTATCCGCATGGGTTGCAGATGTCCTCAAAGAGAGGGAGGCATCAAGGGCCAGTAGGAATAATGGGGTCCCTGGCCCTGTCCATCTGATTCAGGGGAGCACTGCTCCATCTTGAGGAGCCTTGTGAATAGCCCCCTGAATTCTTACCTTGCCAAAATGGAATGGAGGAAGACTGGTTTTCCCTGTCAGATCACCTCCTGTCACTCATAATGGTTGGTCTTTCCAGGCTGAGGGAAATGTTTCTTGTTTCCAGAGTAGAGAAAGAAATAGTGGAATAATAGCTTTGTTCATCCTGACTTTCTGAGATGGCTTTTCAACATTTTAAAAAACTAATGTGGCTACCATTCACTGGCAATGCTTTCTTTTAGAATATGGGAGTGAGATCAACTAGAGAAAATAACCTGGTCTTGCTGTGGTTGCACTTATCCACAATGTCCCCAAAGCCGTCCTGCTCTGATGGGGACAATTTCCAGGTATAAGCAAGGGGCTTTGTGACTAAAATGTACCCTGGTTGATGTTAAACATTGGCTTCTGTGTTTGCACCAAAATAGCAAGCTGTGTGCTCTATACTCTCTTCCCATCTTCCTGTGTACACTGCTCCTGTGGCCTTCCACAGCAGAAACCAGGGCAAAAGGGTCCAAACACGTGGTATTCTTTGCCACAAGGCTCTTCCTGGGAACTAAGAGGGTATTTATTAGTACAGTTCTAAGAGACCTCCTCCTGGGCTTACCCCAATCCTCAGGTACTCCTCTATCCTTCCTGTGTCTCCTCCCCAGTCTCAAGTAACCAAGAAACCTGAAAGTGGATGTGTAGCTATTTGAAGAAGGCAAGGAACCCTGAGATTCTTCTTAGAATCACCCAATCCAAGTCTTAGACCAGTGATCCAGTGCTTACCTTGAACAAAATTTTATCTGTGTTCCTAATCCCTTCAATACCCTGGGTACATTTGCTCCCAATCACCCCACACATTTGATTCTAAATGACTTTTATTTTTTAAAAATCCATATCCCTAGGACAGGAGAACAGGGATGCCTATATCCCCCAAACGAGCTCCAGCACATTAATGGGAATGTTCCCAAAGATCAACCCACCTCAGAAACATCTGTGTCAAGAGACTTCCCCAGATAGAAACACTAAGACAGTGTGGTTTGAATGATTTCTTTTATAGTGGTCCAGTTTGTTATGGAAATAAAAGGCAGTTTTTTTTAAAGGGATTGAAACCTGTCCTTGGCCATATAGGGCCACTTGGATCCATTTCCAGGCCCTACTCATGTATTGCTCTCACTGCATCAAGGGCTTTGGCCTTTAGTCCTAGACTGGTTTCAAAAGTAAAGCATAAGTGTTTTGGAGCTCATCTGGGGTGGGACATGGGAATGTTGGCCCACTTACCCCTTCAGGAAAAGGTGCCTTCCCTCCCTTTCTTCTGAAGCCTGGTCCCCAGAGCGTGTTTTCATCTCTAAAAGTCTAGTGTGGTCTTTACCCCTAGCCTCTTACTGTTGCTTCCTGCCTTGTTTCCTTGTTAAGGAGCTATGCAGACCTCCCACTTTGGCTTAGCTAGTGAGACATTGGCTATCATTTGACAAGGCTAACTTGTTTTTTTTGTTGTTGTTGTTGTTGTTTAAACAGATCTGTCTCCTAGGCTGGAGTGCAGTGGCACAATCTTGGCTCACTGCAACCTTCACCTCCCAGGTTGAAGTGATTCTCCTGCCTCAGTCTCCCGAGTAGCTGGGATTACAGGCGTGTGCCACCAGGTCCAGCTATTTTTTTGTATTTTTAGTAGAGATGAGGTTTCACCACATTGGCCAGACTGGTCTTGATCTCCTGGCCTCAAGTGATCTGCCCACCTCAGCCTCCCAAAATACTGGGATTATAGCCACCATGCCCAGCAGACAAGACTAATTTTTTAAGCCCTTAGTTGCTTCAACACCTTCTGGAATCAGAGGTGTTTCTTACCTTGGATGCCTGAGACTAGGGAAGTACAAAATTTCACTTGGGAATTAAGGCATCTTTCTGCTCCGGATCAGAAGGGCAGGTTAGTTGGGAGAGGTCAGATGGCACAACAGAAGTCACCTTGTAACTAAGGCAAAGACTTGAAGGCATTAGTATTTCTCGTTACTGGATAAATAACCTGAGGGAATCAATGGCTTTTTGCCACTCTACCTCTTGTGTGTCTCTTTGACTTTTCTTTCTCTGTCTAGCTTCCTACATTCTCAGTTTATATACTCTATGCTATCATTCTCTCTTTCCACAATACAAACATCTACCCTTTGTCCTGTGCAGTTTTCTCTCTCTCTCTCTCTCTCTCTCTCTCTCTCTCTCTCTCATTACCTTTATTTGTATTTTCTCCTTCCTCGCTGTCTAGGCATTGGGCATGTGCCTCTTCTTAGCCTGTGATTTTTGTCTTGGGACTGATGATAAATTATTTCCAGATTCAACCACGTAGCCCTGGTCCTACCCCAGTCCAGTCAGAAGTATGCTGGTGGGAATCAACCTGATCCTGGCCCATTCTTCTTCTCCATTTTCATTCTTAATCCCTCTCAGCAGATCTTCACAAGCAGTTTACTTATTGCTCATGTATCTTTAGGTCTTTGCCTTCCAAGCACTGTACAGAATACTTTGTGGTTCCTTTTTAGTCTGCCATTTCGTGGAGCAGTGAAGCGTGCTCAGAGAAATAATCAGCTGAACAGAGAAATCCA